CTTGGATCAACCCTGTCAACTTCTCTTGACCACCATCTTTCATGAGTGTGGCGTTGAGCCAGTCTTGCCTTCGCTCCACAACGTGCATTTCAGTCTTGAACTCCTGACAAGGGCAGGGTCAAGGTCAAAGACCATGCAACTCTGTTTCCATAAATAAACCTCTAGAATCTAGAATCCAAACAATGCTTGAAGACTCTAAAGATAAACTTGAAGAAACCCTTGCTCCGTCCTGAGATTCACTCTTTTGAGACCGGAACTTCGTCAAGGTGTCCGACATTGACTCGGAAACCTTGACCATCTCAGCTCTCACCTTTTCCATCTGCAACTTGAAGGCTCTCTCAGCTTTTATGGTTTGAGTTTCTTGGTCAAACCAACTGCGCTTTGGATCATCCTTAGGGTCTTTCTTATTCTCATCATCGTTTTCCTCTTCTTCTTCTCCAGACGCATCTGAGCTTTCGTTTTTCTCCTCAGCTTTGGCGCCTGACTTTCGCTTCTTTTTTTCAACAGCTTGCAACAAATCATCCACATCTGGCGCCAGGATTCCATCTAGGAAAGGATTTGCCACAGCTGAGTTGTCTGACCTTTGGTCATGGCTGCTGGCAAAAGCTGTTTGGGCTTTGTGCCGCATGTCTTCAAAGTCGCAAACTTCATGGGCATGCAAGCCTTGGTCCCCCATGACAAAACCCAGGCGAGACTCGATGACCTCCTTGGACGCATTCTTTCCTAGCTTTTCTTCTTTGGTGAACTCCTTTTCTTTCGACACCTCCTCGAACCCTATGATCTTGTCTGCTGTGCGGACATACAACCTAATGTAGCCACGCGGTCCAGCAGTGTCTCTGGGCCAATCCTTGTCGTTCAGCCATGTGTTCCAATTGCTTTCAGCCTCTTGTCGGCTCAAAAAGCCGGCTTTAGCAGTTTTGGCCCATTGGTAATACTCTTCCTCCCACATCATCTCTCCCACGTTTTCCTTCCTTTCACCCTCTCGACTTTTCCATGACACGCGGAAGGCTTGGATGGAAAACTTCAATTTGTCTCCTGCTTTGCGGCTTTGTTCTCGAATCTTCACAAACTCTTTCATCAACGCATTGTACTGTTTGGGATCTTCCTCCTCAAGTTTCTTCATATCAGTACCACACTTCTGAGAGGCTGCCACTCTGTGAAGGCTTCGGATGTGGTTGAAGCAATCTTTGCACTTTTTTTGGTCTGCATTGAAGGCTTCTTTCCTCAACTTCCACTTTGTGCAAGAATTGCACTTCTTCCACTCGTCAAGGTTTTCCTCCTTGGCCCCCCTTCTCTTTCTCTTGGCGGGAGACTTGTCTTTCTTCGGGGTGGCTTCTCTTTTTGACTTTGGGTGCTTCTCTCTTTTGCGTGTCTTGGAAGAACCACGGCGGCGGGGGCTCCTGCTTCTGGACTTATCACCATCGGACGCTGCCTCTCCTAGACCCACACTGTCCAAGAAGAGGTCATCTGCGTCGTCGCCTGCCACATCTGCTTGGAAACCTAAACTCGTGTCTCCCATTGGAAGCACAAAATGCGCTCCCAAAAACTGGTGAGCCAACACAACCTGAAAAATCCAAAACAGATGTCCTGCAGAAACACTCGTTCATTGATCTCTCAATCCCATGGGCCACCGGCTCATGGGAAAAACGGGAAACAATCTTCAGTCGCCCAACGCGAAGAGCAAGCAAAACAAAACAGGGTTCAAGAACTGCCCTGTGGCAAACATCCTGCGCACATTGTTTTTCATCTCACTTCTGAATCTAGTGAAAGTTCAAAACACTACGCCTGGTCCAAAGTCTGACCTTCCACACTGCGCTCATTCAGCAACGGGTCAGAGTGGCTTGGGCTTGTGGGCACAGTGCAGCCCAAGAGGAACAAAAACATAGCTCCTAGCACGGAAAGGTGCATCGAATTGCCTGTCATGCTCTTCACTTGTGCTTCCGTTAAGGTTCTTAGAGTGTCCACAAACGTGCATCGATGCTCATCGTTGGCATCGGCCGGGGAACCCCAAATGTTGAAGCCTTGAATCTCAAAAAGCTCCAGAGGGTGAGCAAGTCTGCGCTTGCCCATGATCCAAAGGTTGGAACGTCGAAGCAAAGCTGGGACGTTGCCACGCGTGCCAGCCATCCATGCAGGATCTTGCGAAAGGTTGCAGATCCATTCGTTGGGGTTGATCTCTGGGCCATGGGCTCGACGCAAAAAAGCCTCGTGCTTCAAGATAGACTCCCTGACTGCAGGAGTGCAAGTCTGGAAGCAGCTCCAAGCTTTGCCACTGCTCGAGTGAGGGGGCAGGCATCTCTTTGAGGCTGCAGCTGCAATCACATCTTTCACCTCATTCTCGGGAGCCCTGAATTTGTCAATTCCGTTCATCACTCGACTGCAGGCGAACAAACGCTGGAAAGAAGGTTCGATTCCTGAAGCTCGAACACAATCTCGGAAGGTCAGCTGGGAGCGGTTCAAAAGCAACATATATTTGCGCTGCCGGTCCACGGGCTCTCCAAAGAGAGCTGGCGTCACATGGAACGTGTGAAGCTCAAAAGATTCACAAAGCAGCTCTGCCAAGAGTTGGTCATCAAAAGTTGCTGTGCGTTCAATGAGGAGGGCAGCTTCCTGAGAGGTTGAGTCCTGGGCCAACAAACGTTCCACAATAAATTGGACAAACGGAAACGCTGATGGCCCCAGCCATCCTTCTTGATTCCCCATGCTGGACCAGTCACGGCACGTTACTCCTGAAATGCCAAGTAGGAGGCATTCAGAATCCTGTGGCGAAGGTGGCAAAACATCACACTGCCTGTTGTGAACGTAGCAGTGTGCCTTCAGCAACTTCTCTTTTGTGTTCGGAATTTGGAATGCCTCTTTGAGGCATTTGACCGCAAAGCGAACAAATGCTTTCCCTTCCTCCACACAAGCTCGCTTGCACTGCTCTCCATGGTCAATCCTTTCTTGCGCACGGTCACGGTGAACTTTCTGCTGGGTCTTCAAAGCCTGCAATACCGCTGGAGGACAGCGGTCAAGTATATCCCCATGAACACACTTTGGAGCAAAGGTGTCCTGATGGTTCATCAGAACTTTGCGGCATGAACTCTCCAGGTCACCAGCTCTTTGGGCGAAGAATTTGGAAGGATCAAACTGGGTGAAGGAGCGATCTTGCAAAGCTGTTAAGACTTTGCTCATTGCTTCCTCGGGTGAGCCAAGGCCACTGTAGTCAGTGCGCAAAGCTATCCCTTTTTGAGACATCGCCTGTGCTGCAAATGAAAAGTCAGTCTCAAAGTGTCGAATGCTTTGCTCTTTGAACACCTTCAAAAGCCTTGGAGCCCAACACACACTCTCTGCAGCGGTCCGTGGACCTTCAGGCACATCCTCCAAATTCAGGCGCGCGTGGAAGGGATCTGATCGCAGGTTCCTGGGCCTCTTAGGAAAAAAGATGCTCTGGTCAACACCATCCTCAGCTACATCACTGGCCAAACTCTGGCCTTCGCTGTGTTGCACAGCTGGTGATGGAGATTCATGGCCAGGCTGAGCACGCAGTCTGCGTTTGGGAGCCATGGCCAGGAAGGAGTGCTCGCCAACTGTCAAAAGAATCTAAACAAACACATGTGACACAAGCTTCTGTAATCCTCCACCGGTTTTGTTTTGAACTATCAGACCCAGCCAAGAACCTTTCCTGTCAGGGCATTAGGCCTGCAAACGACGCCTGAACCAAACGCAAAGTGGAGCGGTGGCTTAAAAGGGAAAAGCAATTGCACACGATGTTCAAAAAATCACGAGCTGGCCAAGCCTCAGGGAAAAAAAGTAACACTCTTAGCACTGCCATCCTAAGTTGCCCAAACCTGATGAGAAAATTTGATTCCTAGGTCACATTTCCATAACCTGACATGATTTTCATAGAAATGACCACAGCCTGTCACAATCTGTGAAGCAACAGCTCACAGGAAAACATAGGAAAACCAACATCGCGTCCGAGCCGGGTCCGAGCCGGGTCCGAGCCGGGTCCGAGCCGGGTC